CATCAGTACTAATCTGTAATAACTATAAATTTCTTCAATTGTATTTGTTTAAATATGGGCAGGTTACAATATAAAAAATGTTTGTCATAATCATGTCTTGTGATTATTTGACAGGAGTTTTACTTTTAAACTGTGTGTTTTTAATTTAGTTATAATGTAAATACAATAAAATTAAACCAAGATTTATAATAATTATCATTTTGATCCATACATTGGTAATGTCTGACTGGGCCTCGTGTCACTTTATGTTCAACAAACTGGGCCCTGAGGTCAAAAAGGTTAAGAAGCCCTGCTCCAGGAACCACAAGTAAACCTGCAGTCTGAGAGTGAAGTGCTCTGTTAGGAACGTCTGGAACAATAAGATCTATGATGGAGCTTGGTTGTTAACAGCTTTGTATGTTAGGAGTAATATTTTAAATTATATTCTGAATTTGACAGGGAGCCAGTGGAGAGAAGCTAAAACTGGAGAAATATGATCTCGCTCTTCTTCAGAGGAACATGTCTCCTTTAATAACGTAGCTTCAGTTCAGAACCAGCTGGCAGCTGAGAAAACAGAGAGCAGCTTCAGAATCTCAGTCTGGAAACAAACAAGGTCAAAAACGTCTAAAACATCCCTGACATGGTGTGTTTGTTAGCAGAGCAGATGAGACATTTTCTGCAGATTCATGCTTGGTCCTGTTCCAGACTTCTGTTCTCGACTTCAGTTTGTTCTTCAGACAAAAAGGAGCAATAACGTTGGAAACATCACAAACAGTTTATTTTAAACTTCAGGTCTGTTTCTGAAACTTTAATAAGAATAGAAAAATCCAGTGTTTGTCAGGATAATCAGAGATACACTGTTGCACTTTTTCTATGTGACCCAACAGCTCTGCTGTTCTGTTAGAAACAAGAGAAATCCACATTCAAGTAAAACTCAAACTGTTTCCAAAGATTAACACAGAATCAGCTGAAGGAACACAGAAGTCTCATTGCACAAACCTCAGCTCCACTTCTGATAATTATTCATTTACTTTCTTCTTCTGCAGCTTGTAATGATGTACAGAGTCCAAACAGAAAACCATTCAGATAACTAAAAACTCATTTATAATCCTGAGGATTATAGATCCCTGAACAGGTTCTAAAGAAGGTGCTGCAGGGTCCAGAACCTGAACCTGCTGTGGGACCTGCAGAGACTGGTCTCAGAGTTTCACAGATGTAACATGTTGGCTTCACCTGTATAAAACATAACTGTGTGAGAGGTGGAGTTACTGCAGAACAGAAATATAATGATTCTGGTCCAAAGTGTCTGCAGAGCGTTTGGACCTGAGTCTGCTGGATCATCATGTTAGAGCAGGTCTCAGTTCTGTTCTGAAAGGTTTAAACTGCAGACTTTCAAACAACTCGCTCCTAAAGACACCTTCTCTTTCTCCTGCAGATGTTGGAGACCACCAGAACACCAGCGGAGACCCTCAGGTCTGTATGAAAGGCTCTGGTTCTGTCTGAAGGCCTCACAGTGTCACGCTCACACCGTCTCCTGGTCAGAGACCCTCAGAGCCGTTATTACACTGAACACTGAGGATGATCTGAGGGTTGGGTGGATCCAGATCTACAACCAACAACTTTCATTCACTTTTCTCCACTAGTTCATGAGATATTTTGCTGACAGACAGAGAACTGACATCACGCAGTAAAACAAAGGTTTGTTCAGATCCAGAGCTGTCAAGTAACTAAGTACAAATACTTTGTTACTTTACTTAAGTAGTAATTTTGGTTATTTATACTTTAGTGGAGTAATTAGTTTTCGGACTATTTTTACTTCTACTTCTTACATTTTAATTCAATTACATGTACTTTCTTCTCTTTACTTTTTAAAAATGCAAAAAGATTTTCATTTCTATTTAACTTTGACTTGTTTTTATTCTATTTTTTCATTGTTCAGGAAAAAAAAAAATAAATAAATCTATCCAGACACATGGAGCCCATGGATAGAGTGAATCTGATTGTGGTTGATAAGAAGTGTAAATATAAGTGTAAAAAGTATAAATATAAGTGTAAAAAGTGTAAATATAAGTGTAAAAAGTGTAAATATAAGTGTAAAAAGTGTAAATATAAGTGTAAAAAGTGTAAATATAAACCACTCTGACATCCTATTGGATTGAACTCATTCCATCACACCTGTGTAGTAGTTTCCCTTCACTGCTACGTTTTTAATTTCTCCCATAGTCCGGGCCAATCAGAGAACAGAACATCGATTTTCTGCGCAGTGTCTGCTTGTAGTTTATTTTACCTGGGCCAATCAGAGAACAGAAGGAGGAGTTTTGAACGACGTCGATGTTCTGCACAGTGTCTGCTAGTTAGTTTAGCATACRGCAGTGGAGGAAGTGAATGAAGCCAGTCTGTGTTGATAAGGCTCCCAAATTAAAATAAATTTGTCTGACAAAGCAGCAGCTCTCATTTACAGTCATCTTGTTCAGGTCGGTATATTTCTCCTCTCAGTAGGGTTGTTTACAGCACTCGCGATTTCCAGTTAGCTTATTAGCTTAGCCTCCTTCACACTGACACACGTCGCAGCCAACTGATCCAATCATTTTAAACTTCAGCAGAGGCCACGCCTCCTGCAAGAATCACTTCTCTATAGCAGAGAGTCCAGACCCTTGTATGAAACAAAGTGAAGGACAGGATCTGGTTTTTACCAGGCTAAGTCTGGTCAGTTAATTCCAAAATTTTCAACATTTTAATTTAACATTATACTCATTATTGACTTTAGAAGAAAAAAGGAGGGGGATATACACGCTGTAGAACCCTGTGGCACAGCCTAAGCTTTTATCCTTAATGGCTTTGTTTTAGTGTTCATTACTTTTACTTTAAGTAGTTTTAAAACCAGTACTTTTATACTTTTACTTGAGTAAAAAACTTGAGTTGACAAAACAGT